TTTTTTCTGGAAACATACTTTCAGAAGATTCCTCCTCACTTGTAATCATTTTAAGTTCACTCTAATATAATATAAAATGTTAAAAATCATTTGAATAAAACTATTATTTAAATAAATAAAATTTTAAAATTTTAAAATTTATACCAATAATTCTGGATCATTTTCTCCATCAGATAATTCTTCCTCAAAATTTATATCTTTTATATTTTCAGCTACTATTATATTTAAATTTTTTTCTTTAGGAAGTAGTTTACGAGATGCTATATATAAATTAGAAAAGATGTTGTATTAGATATTTAAAATAATAAATATATATATGTAATATTTATTTACCATGTTTAGATTTCCCAATATTATCATCACTAGCTGTTAAAGCTGCTAATTCAGCTTCCAAATCATCATTATCATCATCGTCATTATCCATAAAATTATTTTCTATATCATCCAAATTTTCTGGCATATTGAAGATTCCATACTATTAAAAAATATGTTTAAAATAATCAATTAAAAAGTGAGGTTAAAAATATCAAATAATACCTGCGCTAAATTATCAGCAGGTCGCGTTTGTCGTTTTAAATTCTCTCTTTTTCCAAACATATTGTTCTATGAAATATACTTATTATCATAAATCAATTAATAAAATACTAAGATTATTTAAATAATCAAAATACATTAGATACAAGATATTGTAACAAAACAATATTCTATATTATGATGCATTATCCATCATATAATATACAAGGCTAATATGATATTTTAATATAGTATTCACTATGTATGTCTTCATGTATGATATAAGTATTTAATTATTTAAGCTTTTATTATTTCTCAATAAGAATAAATAATTTTCATAATTATATATACATACTATATAATTATGTATATAATTATATATACATATATTTCATACATATATTTCATAAATATATATATGTATATAAAATAATTTTATTTAAAGAATTATTATATATTACTCTGTAAATTCAATATATTTATATTTAATTTCATTTTTTGGATATATTAAAAATATTGCTTTTTAAATTTTAAAAGCTATAATATATCTAATCTTTTTTTATAATATATTTTTCTATACGCTATTATTTTTTATAATTCTTGCTAATGATTATAAGTTTTTAATAATATTTTATATCTTATTTTACATTACCTATATTTTAAATTAAGATTACCTATATTTTAATTTATAAAAAATAAAAAAAAATATAAAAATAGTTTCTTCTTCTTATTCAATTAAATTAATAATTATTTCAATTTTTGATTTTCAATAAATTTCCATATATTATCTTGTATAATTAAAAAATAGCTACTTTAAAAAAATCAAATTTGAATAGTTTAATCAGATATTCAATAGTTATTTAGAAATTTATTTAGAAAGTCAATATTATTTATAAATTTGGCCATTTTTTTTTATGGCTTGTAGCAAACTTCTCACAAGATAGTCATATGATCGACACGAAAAAGGGCGAGTCCAACTTCAATTTTGACGGATCCATATTTAAAGTGGAATAATTGTGGTAAAAAATCCTCCAAAATGAAGGGTTGTATGTTTAATATCGATGCAGGATATTTGGAGGGTCTTTGCCGTGGATTTAAATGTGGAATTCTTCAACAAAGTGATTATCTTAATCTTGTACAATGCGAAACTCTTGAAGGTAAATTTTATTTAACATTTATATTTCAGTTTCAAGAATAGTAAACGTTATTTGAAATTTAAAATACTCTAATTTTCAAATTGTTATTAATTTGATATTAATTATTTTAATTATATTAATTATTTTTTACTTCTGCAGATTTAAAACTACATTTGGCTGGTACAGATTATGGTAGTTTCTTAGCTAATGAACCATCACCACTTTCTGTCAGTGTGATTGATGATAAATTGAGGGAAAAGCTTGTTATAGAATTTCAACATATGCGCAATCATTCTGTAGAACCTTTATCACAATTTTTAGATTTTATTACTTATAGTTATATGATTGATAATATTATCTTACTAATTACCGGTACTTTGCATCAAAGACCAATTTCAGAATTGATTCCTAAATGTCATCCGCTTGGTAGTTTTGAACAAATGGAAGCTATTCATGTAGCAGCTACACCTGCTGAACTTTATAATGCAGTTTTAGTGGATACTCCTTTAGGTATAAGTTATTATGAAATATAATATTAAAATTTTTTTATAAAAAATTAAAATTATAAGATATTATTGTTTTATCATATTTTAAATTATATCTTTTTATTCTATTTAAATATTCAATAAATTTATAGCACCTTTTTTTGTGGATTGCATTTCTGAACAAGATTTAGATGAAATGAATATTGAGATAATCAGAAATACATTATACAAAGCCTATTTAGAAGCATTTTATAAATTTTGTAAAGATATTGGAGGAACAACTGCAGATACTATGTGTGAAATACTTGCGGTAATAAATTTTATAAAATTAATAAGATAATTAATAAATTAATTAATAAATAAAATCTATTAAATAATAAAATAATTTACAGTTTGAAGCCGATAGGCGAGCTATTATAATAACTATCAATTCATTTGGAACTGAATTAGGTAAAGATGACAGAGCAAAATTGTATCCTCGCTGTGGAAAATTGAATCCTGATGGATTAGCTGCATTGGCAAGGGCAGATGATTACGAACAAGTCAAAGCAGTTGCAGAATATTTTGCTGTAAATAATTTTTTTTAAATAAGATTTTATAGTTTTTAAGAAATTTATATCTTTGAATTTATATGTTATTTGTATCTTATTTATATATTATATTTATTATTATATATTATATTTATATATTTGTATAAATATAATAATAATTTTACATTTGAATTATTTTTGCAGGAATATAGTGCTTTGTTTGAAGGTGCAGGTAATAATCCTGGTGATAAAACTTTAGAAGATAAATTCTTTGAGCATGAGGTAAATTTATATTTACTTCATTAAACTAATATTATTGACAAAAATTAATGCAGTAAATATATTCAAATCTTATTAATTTTAATGTTATTACTGCACAGGTACGTCTAAATGTTCATGCTTTTCTTCAACAATTTCACTTTGGAGTATTCTACAGTTATCTTAAATTAAAAGAACAAGAATGTCGTAATATCGTATGGATAGCAGAATGTGTTGCGCAAAAACATCGTGCTAAAATAGACAATTACATTCCAATTTTTTAATAAGTTTTCATTTTGTTGATTATTTATGTTTAACTGTATAACAATATCACGAAAAAATTAAATTTTTTTCTTTTTTCTTTTATTATCACATTTTTTAACTATAAATAATTAAATAAAAATTACAGTATTTCGTGTTATGAAGAAAAGAAAAATATTTCAAAGAAAAAAATATAATTATCTAATTAATAATTGAAATAAAAAATGATTGTATGTAGTCAATTGGACAGATGATATTAAAAATTATTATTTAATATTATTGTCATATGTAATAAGAGTTTATATCATATAAATGTATATAGTGTATTTTATTGTAGATCAGTATATTATGTTTGATATTAATTGATGTTGTAATTATCAATTCTATTGTAATATAAAGTAATATATAATGCATTCCAATTTCAAATTAAAGATACTCACTTTAAATAATAATATCTTATGTTAAATTGATTTTCAATTTTTCTTTATTCTAACCCAAAGATAATAATAATTTTTTTAATAATTATATATTAATGATTTTGCAATATATATACATGATTTTTTAATATTTCAAAATTTCATTTCAAAAATAAAATTTAATCAATCAAATTTAAATAAATCAATGTATTCAATAAAAAAAAAAAAGATAAATATTTCTAAAGAATACTTACAATATTTTTATTTATAAAATATGTATATTTTTTATATCTTTTCCAATATATAAAATTTATTTTAATAAATCAAGTAATAATATTCTAATTAATTCATTATATAATAGTATTTGAAATAATTGGATTATTATAAGTTATTAATGTTATAAACATACACATGCAAAAATAAAATTTTATACTTGAAATTAATTCAAAATACTTAAATGACAGAAGTAAATATGAATTTTTGTAATGCTTAAAACAAGTCTATATCCTATACCATTTATGTTTATGAACAAAATTTTTTATAAAAATCTTAATACATTTATTCTAGAGCAGCCTTTCATTTCATAAATAATTTAATAGTATTTTTGCTATTAAAAAATGATACTGAAATCAAATAAGTCTAAAATATAAAATCCTAACGAAAAATATTTCACAAATATATATATATATATCCCTAATATACATATATATATATTTATATATTAAGGATAGAAATCTTGTTTAGCATAATTTGCTAAATTTTATAAGATTTCAAAACTCTCGAAATCTAGAATGCTTATTTTTTCCTTTTTTTAAAATATCTATTTTGTTGTAACTTAAAAACTTAATAAATTTTCACTTTTGAAATTCGTTAAACTTAGATTCATAATTATTTTATAATAATAATCATATTTTTGGCTTATAATAAATTAAATTTTTATATTTTATTTTTTCTTATGTAAATTGGATTAGTAAAATTGTACCAATTAAAAAAATCTAAAGTCTAAATACAAATTCAATTGGATTATATTTAAATGTCATAACATTCTTATAAATTTCTTTATATAAATTATTCTATATTTAGATTTTGAGAATTTTGTATACAACAAAAATAGCAAAAAGTTTTGAAGTTCAAAAATTCAAAACTTTGAGTTTTAACGGTTCAAATATTCTATTTGTGATATGTATGTATACATACATACATATAAAAATACACATACATATATGAGTATGTAATTTATCATATAAAAATACACTTTCTAAAAAAATAGTAAGATAAAATTTAATTTTTGAATGAAAGATTTACAAAAAAATCATAAATATAATCAGAATTATTAATTCTGAATTTTGTAATTCTTTCACAATTAATATTTTATAATACCACTTCTGATAAAATGAGATGAAAATATTCTTAATTACTGGAAATAAACTTTCATTATTTTCCGTTAGGATATTTTTCAAATTTATTATAAAAAAAAGAGACATAAACACTGCTTATCTTCTACAAATTCGTTCACTTTCACATTGCATTCTTTCTCCATCTGATTCTCTACTTCTTACTGGATGTACTTCTTCATTTATAGAATTCACATTAGCAACTGAAGATGGTGGAGTATTATTAATATGTTTCATGTTAGCAGTTGGTGATGGTGGTTTTGTTGTTCTGATTGGATTTGTAGAAACATTATTAACTAAATTTGGAGGTTGATAAGTTGCTAAACTTTTTAATCCAAGTACTTCTGGATTTTCTTTCCAAAAACGATCTCCAATAATATCATCTACCAATGGAACGACTGCAGGTTTCAGTCTACCTGTTCCATCAGGTACTAATTTTCTTATAAGTGTAGTTCCTTTTCGGAAAAGTGGCGGTTCATTATTGTAATTTATACCAAATTCTTGAAAAAGTAATTCGTTTTTATGTGAAGCCAATGTACCTCTAAGCTTAACCTCTGCCTAAAAATAAAAAATAATAATTATAAAATAAATAACTATAAACAAAATAATAATTTTAAAAAATATAATATAAATATATATCTATATAAAATAATATAATAAATAAAAATAAATAAAATGAATAATATAATATATATTTATATATAATTATTATTTTCATAATAACATATATAAAAATATATAAAAATTAAGAAAAGCTAAATTATAATAATTTACCTGGCTTGGAGTTAATTTTCCTTTTAATACAAGATTCCAAAAGCAAGTATTATATAAATTATTTACATGAGCATCAGCTTGTCTCCATGCTAAATAATCCCTTAAATTTTTATCCGTAGGATATAATACAACGCGAGCATCAAAAGACGGTGGATAATATAATTCTTTGCCTTGGAAGAAACGAGGCCAATGGTAAACATATGATGATGCAAAAAGAGAATTCACATTTGTCATCAATTTTGAAGCTAAAATATTATAAAAATATTTTAAATAATATATTTATATTATAGATATATATAAAATATAAATATAATATAATATAAATAATAATTTTAATAATAAACGCATTTATCACATATATATATTTTTTGTTTCCTATTATTTATTTACTTCTTTAAATTTATTATGTTTTAAACTATTTTTTAAAATATATATACCTCTTCGTTTGTAAAGTTCAGTGTCTTTTCGAAAGACGAAAGAATATTCATCACTTTGACCAAATCCTAAAATGATTTCTTTGAAATCTTCCATAACCGTAATAGCCGCGCGATTCATTAATTGCAAAGCAGCTACATCGTTTGGTTTGGTAAATTGATGCGCTTCACAAAATTTCGAAAAATTTCTTCCATCTATTCTAACCACAATCCAACAATTTGGCAAACAACAATCATCACGTTCAAATTCTTTTACATATTCAAATTTACTTTTAGCCATTCTCATCAAACTTATGTGCCGGCTATTGACCACTTGTTTGACCAAGCTAATGATTTTCAGGAAGTTGCTTCCTGTTGTCAGAAAATACAACATTTCCTGAAACTGCTGAGTGTTGAAGTCTCCACTGTCGAGTTCGTTTCAGTTTAAGATGTGCACAATATGTCTCAGAACGCACTTATTAAAAAACTGCCATTAACTTTTTATGATGAAATAAATTAACACTTGATACGTATATTTCTAAATAGCCACGTGTGCGTTTATTGGTTAGGTATAATCATTTGTGTTATTATGTACAAAAATATTCAAGTTAAATAAAATACTAATTTGTAATAAATTCTTATAAATTAAGAATATTTAAATAAACGAAAAATATATTTATATTTTTAATATTTTTATATAGGTATATTTATATATATAGATTTATATATATATATATTAAAAAAAAAAAAAAAAAAAAAAAAAAAAAAAAAAAAAAAAAAAATTGTAACAATATGGATTTACACGAACGCTATATGCGTATTTCAACAATAGATTTCTCGATTTTAGAATTATTAGAAATTGCATTTAAAGATGATCCATTTTTATTATTACATCGTTTAAGTAAATATTATAACACTGAAATAATAAGAAATAATTTACACGCAAAAAAATTATATACATTTCGAATGATTTTATGTTATGAATATCAACTTATATTTCATACAACAAATAAGCATGTTAGAATAATTCCAAATGATTTATGTTTTAAAACAATAGAAAATACTTTATTTGTAAAAGATAAATTACAAAATTTTTTTGAATATCCAATTTTATATGATATTGTAATTTTACAGTTAACGCTTTACTGTAATTCACAATGTATTGAGCAACATATGATAAATTTTCGCAAATCGAATGTTAATAGTTTGAATAATAATGAAAGCAAAATTTTATATTTGAAAATATTAGAATGTTTTTTAGAATCATTACAATTAAAAAAATATTTATATAATGATTTGGAATCAAATCTATTGAAACGTTTTAATTCTCTATATCTAAAAGATATGATGTTATGGTTACAAATAAAAGAAAACAAAGAATGGCAATTATTTGCTTCAATTTTACCAAAATTAATAAATACTTTTGGTTATGAAGATATTTTGCCACCTATGTGGAATTATATTTTAAATAAAATGGATTTAAATGATTTAAAAGATTTATTAAGTGCACTCAGTATTTTAATAGATATATGTTTTTCTGTAAATTTAAAAAATATTAGTTTCATGCATTATGATATATTTTATATAGAACAACTATGGTTATTATTATTACAAGGTTTAAAATCTCCAATACAACAATATCGTAAACAAGCATTATTTATAATGAAACGAATAACTGATTTCATAAATACTATAAATGAAAATGACTTGAAATCAAAAAAACATAAAATTATTCCTTTCGTATGCCATCAATCAATTAAAACAAAAATATCAATAAATGACATTAAACAAAATTACTTTTTGATATTAGAAGCTTTAGAAGAAAAACATCATCATTTAATATTACCTGCATTAACGTATTTACCAATATTGATAAAAGGAAACAAAGAACATACTGTATGTAACAATTGCTTTGACAATATTTGGTTACAATTAATTTTTGAAAGAATATTATTGCATGAAAATAATACCATAGTAAAACAAGGTATATTATATATTTGTAATTCACCTATTTTTTTGTATGACAATCAATTTTTAAAATTATTTATACATGTTTTAAATAATACATATTTATATGAATGTCAAAGTTATCAACAAGAACCAGAAATATTAAATGATATTATAAAATTATTTATACATGTAAAAACTGAACAAATTGAATTTCTTAATAAAGTTTTTAAGATAATCAATGAAGAAACATGGGCTCCAATACCAATATTTTATATGTTGAAAGTTTTAAGAATAGTATCAAGTAAAGTATCAAATTATTGGGAAGATAATCAATTAAATTTAATTAAATCTTTGATTCAAAAAAATTTAAGTATGCACTCATATATATTAAAGATTGCATCTCAAATTGAACTTTTAAACATAATATTCCTTTCTGTAAAAAAAATTAATGATTTAAAAATTGTAATGAATATGTTATTAGAATTTTCTTTAGAAGAAACATTTATAAGAAATTCATTTCTATGGGATGATATAATAAGATGGCTGAAAAAAATATTGATAAAAGCAGATGTAATAAATTTCATTAAATTTATTTGTGAAGAATATACATATAAAAATTTGCATCCCAAATTCAATCCTGCTAAATTTGCTATTATTATTATTATGTTTTATGATGCAAATCTAATAGTAGAACAGAAAACATGTCCTATAAAGGAAATACTCAATAATTGGCTATTATCACTTAAGAGAATAGATGTAAGACCTTATGCAAATATTATACATATTTTCTATATCGTAGAATTTATGTCACATTTACTTAATTTAAATATTACAAAAAATCATAAAAATATCAAACAATTATTATCTATATATATTAATGATGCATTAAAATTTTTACTTAAAAATAGTAGAAGCATACCATATAAGTTCAATTATGAAGAAATGAACAGATACCTTACTACAATTATTTTAATTCTTAACAATGGATATTTACTTTTAACAGAAAAAGAAATTTTATATTATGTCGAGAAATTCAAAAAGGAAAGTATATTTATCATTCAAAATATAAAACAATATACAAATATGCATTATTTATATGCATTATATATTTTACATTATACACAAAATATTTTGTGTGCAAATTATGCATCATTTTACATTCAACCATTGTTAGATATTTGTAACATTCGCATATTTAATAATGATGAAAGTCAAATAAAATTTAAAGGAAAGATAGCATCAGATTGTTATATATTACTTGCAAAACTTATAAATCAATTTTTATCAAAAGTGGAAATAGAAATGTGGCCTCAGAAAATTGATTGGAATAAAAATATTTCCTATTTATTTGAAATGGGAGGAAATGAAATTGTTCCAGAAATAGCATTAATATTGAAAACAATGGTTAATAAAGGAGCAATGCAAAATTTAGAAAATACATTAAATTTAGAATCTATTTTTACTGACTGTTGGAAGACTACATTATTAAGTACAAAGAACAAAACTTATTTTCTGGCAATAGAAAATCTTGTAGGAGTTATTATAAATAATAATTTTTTAATATTACCCAATATTAAAAATTTTGTAAACAATGTAAGAAAATAACATATTAATTAATAAATTAACATTTTTTAAAATATTAAAATTATTTTAAACTTTTAGTTTATCGATCAATTACTTGAAGAAAGTAATAATGTGTCAAAATTAAAAAAAATTTTATTAAATGAAATGAGATTATTAAATACATATTGTTTAAAAAAATTGCAAGAACCACTATTAGCATGTCTGCTTCATGGACCTGTACTTCGAAAAGACAAACAAATAGAAAATCAAGTTTATTTATATATTATAAAAAATTATCAAAACTGTTATCCACAACACATACAAATAATGTAAGTATTTTTATAATTTTTAATTATATTATATATATTTTATATATTTGTAATTAATATTTTAATTTCATTAATAGAGATTATAATATCAGAGCAACTTCTGTTATTCTGCTACATAAAATAATTAATGAAGATAAAGAATTTGCATCAATATTTCTTCCAATTATTTTACAAAAATTAGAAAAATATAAAAATAAACGATATTTTAATTATTCATATATACATAAAGTAAAACACAGAATTATGCAAATTTTGTTAATAATGCAGCCAATTTTAACTAAGGTAATAAAAAATATATTTTATAAAATAATAAATAAAAAAAATTAAATTTATTTACAGGATGACATTATAACATTACAAGAATTTCTTTTAAATTTATTACTTTTGGAAAGTAATCAACATAGTGTTAGAATAATGCAAGAGTGGATATTAATAAAAATTTTTGTAGAAAATGTGGAATTTCATCATAAAATTTGGGAATTTTTTGAAAAGGTATTTAAACAAACTGTTTTTTTTTCTATAGAATTTGTTTGTTTTTTTATATATAAAAGTTCAACTAATTTAATATGTGTAGGGTATTACAATACGTCCAGGATGTGTTAGTTCCATAATATGTATTGTCTATCATATTTCTAAACTTCTTTCTAAAGATTCTCAAAGCAATTTTATTTTAACAGCATTGAATTATATTGCCCGTTGTTGTTTAGGACAACAATATAATATGCGTCTTTATGCTCAGGTAAATTGTATTATATCAAATTATAAAATAAATTATATTATTTAATTATATTTATTTATATTAATAAATTATATATTATTATTTGTTTATGACAGATTATTTTTGTAAAATTGTATAAAATGTTAGAACAATTAAATTCTGATCATGTTATATTACAATATGAAGGATTATATAATGCTGCAATTACAAGTTTAAAAGATGGATTAATAAGAAATTCAAGCAAAATTGAGAATGATTTTTATCTTTCTACATTTCATCCTATATTGGACTATACCTTACAAGTAAATTAATTAAAAATAAAATTAATATTTAAATCTATTAAATGGAAATATTCATAAAAACATATATTATATAACATTATTTAAACATATATTATACATATATTATTAAACATATATTATTAAATATATATTATTTAAATAATAAGATTTTTCTTATTTGTAGACAATTTATCTTGAATTACCTCGATTGACTGATATGGATGCAAGTGAATGGATAATTCCAAATTTCTTTACAATTTTGAATTTCAAAAAATTTAATGGTCATGCACTTCAACTATATAATTTAAATAAATCATTATCTGATATTAAAACATCGTCATATTTAATAAAACATTCAGGTATTTTATTAAAATATATTATCATCATGATTATAACAATTTCTAAGTACATTTTGTATATATATATATATATATATATATAATAAATAATAAGTATAAAATAAAGAAAAAAAATATAGGTGATACAGAGCCATTCATAAAAAAATGTAATATGGATTTTGAAGAATTAAGTGATATTCAAAAAAAAATTAATCCTATAATGTCTATCAA